GCAATAGACTTTGATTTTCGGAACCTGTTCATCATATTTGGCCAATAGATAATACGGGGGTTTCTATACCGGCCTTTCGACCTCAGGTATTAGCCGTATTTCATTTCTTTAATTGTGGGTTTTCCATACTGGTCTTACGACCTCAGGTATTTGCCACCATGTGTTGGGTCCGCCGGTTCCTCCCGCGTCCCTTGCCTACTCGACCATCAATCAAGTACCATACTCCCATTTTCAAAACATATTCTTTCATATCACTATGACTCATCAATCATTCAAACATCATAGAGAACACATAGCAAAAGTCACATTAAAACACACATAATTAGGTTCTTATGATGAGCAAATGAAAGCTTCAACTTACCTCAAGATCAATATGATGTATGAAGTGAAAGGATCAGTCTTAGATAGGGTGTGCTAGAAGCCTTGATTAGAGATGAATTCAAACTTCAAAACATAGGATTTTCAGCTAGAAAAGGTGCAGAACTTGTTCTAGCTCTACTTCTATGAGTTCTTAGGGTTTGATATTCTCTTATGTGAACATGGAAGTGAAGAAATAAGAAGAAAAGCTTAAGTGAATAGGTCTGGTCGTTTTTGGAAGAAGACAAGTGAAAATGAAGACCAAAACACAAAGTCTTCACTTATCTACCCATTCCCAACAAGGCCAAATGGAGGATGCTGATTGGAGGGCTTATATTTGCTGGATTCTTGTGGTTCCTCCACGTTTTTCTAGCTTGAGATAAGATATGGGCTGATGCTTACTCATTATAATCAAGTGTAAACACTTTGAGAATGGTCTTGTGCAACCTAGTCAACCAACCAATCAAATTGCACCCTTTTGCATACTTTTGGTTTTATTCTAATACGAGTTACTTCAAGTAGTTACATGTGTAATTAATCATATTAAAATGTAATTAAAATGCAGAAATGCAATTAAGACAAATATATCACTATTCAACACATTGATCCTTTCTTAACCGAGAAACTGAGCTTCTCACTACAATAAATCACTTAAGTTCATGTTAAATCATAAAGTAGAAGTTCAATAACATGTATCATGTATTAGCACATTTTAAGAAAAGTATTCGATCACGTATTAAAACACAATTAAGGCACATGTGTAGCAAGTAGTCGTGATCATGCATCATGAATAATGAATTATAACTATATGCATTGATGCAATATGCTTATTATTGGCCATGTAAGGATGATTGGGCATTACAATCCTTCCCTCCTTATAAAATTTCGCCCTCGAAATTTGACGTACCGAACAATTCTGGATATTTGCTATGCATTTCTTCCTCTCTTTCCCACGTGGCTTCTTCAATAGATTGATTTCTCCACAATACCTTAACTAATGGAATCTTTTTATTTCTCAGCTCCTTGACTTTTTGATCAATAATTTGAACTGGTTTCTCCTCATAAGACAAATCTTGAGAAAACTCCAACGGTTCATAACTCAACACATGAGAGGGATTTGAAATGTACTTCTTCAACATAGACACATGGAAAACATTATGAACACCAGATAATGAAGGAGGTAAGGCTACTCTATATGCTCTATCACCAACTCTTTCAAGGATTTCAAACGGACCAACATATCTCGGACTAAGTTTTCCTTTCTTTCCAAATCTCATGATGCCTTTCAATGGAGCCACTTTCAAGAATACATGATCGCCAACCGTAAACTCTAGATCTCTTCTTCGTTTATCTGCATAACTTTTCTGTCTACTTTGTGCCGTCTTCATTCTTTCCCGTATCTTCCGTACCGTATCGGCAGTATGTTGTACCATCTCTGGCCCAAGTAGACTTCTTTCGCCAACTTCATCCCAATGAACTGGAGATCTACATTTTCTCCCATATAGTGCTTCATAAGGTGCCATTCCAATTGTAGATTGATAACTGTTATTGTAAGTGAACTCTACCAATGGAAGCTTTTCATCCCAGCTCCCTTTCAAATCTAGAACACAAGCTCTTAACATATCCTCAAGTATTTGAATAACTCTCTCGGATTGTCCATCACTCTGTGGATGAAATGCTGTACTAAATGCAAGCTTCGTCCCCATGGCATTGTGCAAACTCTTCCAAAATGCAGAAGTAAACTTCGGATCTCTATCAGATACTATTGACACTGGCACTCCATGCAATCTAACAATCTCTTTAATATATTGTTGTGCATATTGCTCCATGTTGAATGTGGACTTCACTGGAAGAAAATGGGCTGATTTAGTTAGTCTATCAACAATCACCCATATTGAATTGTATCCCCTTTGTGTTCTAGGCATTCCAAGCACAAAATCCATTGTAATATGCTCCCATTTCCACTCTGGAATCAGTAAAGGTTTCAATAGTCCTGCTGGTCTTTGATGTTCCATTTTAACTTGTTGGCAAGTGAGGCATTCAGCCACAAACTTTGCTATATCTTTCTTCATGTTAGGCCACCAGTAGTGTAGTTGTAAGTCTTTGTACATTTTTGTGCTGCCCGGGTGCACTGAGTAAGGACTTCTGTGAGCTTCTTCCAAAATGTCGCCCTTTATGTTAGCATCAAAAGGAACACACAATCTGCCTTTATATCTAATTATTTCATCATTATCAATAGAGAAGTTCGGCCTCTTCTTAGCATCAATCATACTTCGCAACCTAGACAAATACTTATCCACTTTCTGAGCCTCTTTGATTCGGTCATGAAGTATGGGTTTTAATACTAAAGATGATAAAGAACTAACCGTCCCTTTAGGCACAATTTCAAGCTCTAATCTTTGTAAATCCAGTAGTATTGATTTCTGTATAACAAGGAAGGAAGACATAGCTTTTCTACTCAATGCATCTGCAACCACATTAGCTTTACCAGGATGATAGTTAATCACACAGTCATAATCCTTCACAAGTTCTAACCATCTCCGTTGTCTCATATTCAATTCTTTCTGAGTGAAGAAGTACTTCAAGCTCTTGTGATCCGTGTAAATCTCACATTTCTCACCATATAGGTAATGCCTCCAAATTTTCAAGGCAAACACCACGGCAGCAAGCTCTAAATCATGAGTTGGGTAATTCTTCTCATACTCCTTCAATTGTCTTGAAGCATAGGCGATAACATTCCCATGTTGCATCAATACAGCACCCAACCCATTTTTTGAAGCATCACTATACACTACGAATCCACCAGTTCCAGAAGGAATGACGAGAACAGGAGCTGTAGTCAATCTCCGTTTCAACTCTTGAAAGCTACTTTCACATGCATCAGTCCATACATACTTCACGTTCTTTCGTGTAAGCATTGTTAATGGAGTTGCTATCCTGGAAAACCCCTGAACAAATCTTCGATAATATCCTGCTAATCCTAAGAAACTTCTAACCTCTGATACAGTTGTTGGTGTTGGCCAATTTTTGACAGCTTCTATCTTACTCGGGTCGACCGAAATACCATTCTTGGACACGACATGCCCTAGGAATACAACTTGATCAAGCCAAAACTCGCACTTCTTAAATTTAGCATATAGTTGCCTTTCTTTCAATATTTGCAACACCACTCTCAAATGTTCTTTATGTTCGTCTCTATCATGGGAATAGATCAAGATATCATCAATGAACACAATCACAAATTTGTCGAGGAACTCCTTGAACACCCTATTCATCAAATCCATAAAAGCTGCGGGGGCATTTGTTAAGCCAAAGGGCATGACTAGAAATTCATAATGTCCGTACCTTGTTCTAAATGCAGTCTTTTGTATGTCAGCCTCCTTTATTTTCAATTGATGATACCCGGAGCGTAAATCGATCTTCGAAAATATAGATGCTCCTTGCAATTGATCAAACAAATCATCTATTCTCGGTAGTGGATACTTGTTCTTGATTGTAAGTTTGTTCAGTTCTCTATAATCGATGCATAAACGTAATGTACCATCTTTCTTTTTCACAAACAAAACCGGTGCTCCCCAAGGAGAATAACTCGGCCGAATAAGACCTTTATGCAACAAGTCTTGTAGTTGAATCTTCAACTCTTTTAGTTATGTTGGTGCCATTCTATATGGAGCTTTAGAAATAGGAGTACTTCCGGGCAATGTATCAATAACAAATTCAATTTCTCGATCCGGTGGCAGTCCTGGTAAGTCATCTGGAAATACCTCAAGAAATTGATCAACCACATGCACATCTTGGGGTTTCAATTGTGTTCCTACTGAAGTGTCCATAACATTAGCCAAGTATCCAACACAACCCTTACTCATCATCTTTTGAGCCTTCAATGCAGCTATAAATGGTATTGAAGATGAAAGTGAATGACCGCCGAACTCGAAATATTCTTCACCAGGTGGCTGGAAGATGACAACTTTCCGATTACAATTAATGGTTGCGTAATATTTTGTAAGCCAATCCATGCCCAAAATGGTCTCAAAATTTGCGACAGGTAAAACAACAAGATCCGCACAAAGTGTTCTACCACTTATCTGAATAGAACAATGTTTCAACATTTGGTTGGAATTCATCTCTTCCCCTGATGGAGTCGTCACACTGTACATCACATCCAACGTATCTGGTATAATGCCCAATCTCCTCACCAATGAATGTGATGCAAATGAATGAGTAGATCCTGAGTCTATTAATGCAAGTGCTGGAGTTCCTAAAATCAAAATAGTACCTGAGACAACGGATGCATCTGCATCAGCTTGTTCTTTAGTCATTGCATATACTCTCGCTTGAACTTTGACTGGTGGGGTGCGACAATTCCTTGCAATATGCCCTGGCTTCTTACACTTGAAGCAACGATTTAAACCACTATAGCATTCACCAAAATGATTCTTCCCACATGTGGCACACTTGGGCTTTTCAACTGTAGTAGAGCTTTGTACAACTCTAGGGCGCTTCTCATTTACTTGGCCGGATTTTTGCTCTGGTTTCTTCCATTGAGATTGAGTTCTTTGAATAAAAGTTTGCCTCTTCTGTTGATGAAATTTCTGAATTTCCTTCTCATCGAAGTCAGCCATCAATGCGTTGTCCACCACTTGTCAAAACTCGTTTGGAGAAGAGATCCTTACATCTTTTCTAATAACTGGGTTGAGGCCTCTCATGAAGTGATCCATCTTTTCTTTGTTATCTTTAGCTATGTAAGGTACATACTTGCAACCCTCCTCGAATTTTCGCACGTAGTCACATACGGACATTTCATTCTGCTTCAATTCTAAGAACTCTTTAACTTTGAGTGACCGGACATCCCTCGTGAAATACTTATCATAAAAGATTGTTTTGAATGCCTCCCATGTCAACTTCTCCATATCCACTGCAAGTTTTGTACCCTCCCACCAAGTTCTAGCTTCTTTCTTCAATAGGAAAATGGCACAAAGTACTTTCTCGGAATCTTCGATACGCATGTAGTCAAAGATGACATCTAGAGATTTAACCCATTCTTCCGCAACCATAGGATCAGACCCACCATAGAAATCAACCGGTTCCATTTTACGAAACTTCTCATACACGGTAAGCGAGTTATCGTGTCTTGCTTGTGGAGGAGGTTGTTGGTTTTGTTCGTGGGTTCGCTGTTGCATATCGAACAATTTTTGTATCTGTTCGCCATGCATTCTAGTCTGTTGCTGAATCAAACCAGCTAAATTATCAACTAAGTTGTAGTCACCCTCGTGGTCAACATTCGCTGTCTTCCTTTTTGGTGCCATTACTTCCTATAAATTGCCGAATCTCATCCCATTCATTAGCCAATACTAATGCACAATCATGACAATGGCATACATATGTTAAGATAATCAAACACATATATAAATAAGAAGATAGTTAACCAAGCTTCCCAGCCAAAGTATGTTCATATGCCTTCTTCTGTCTTCAGAAAAGATTTTAAACCTCCGCTCTGATACCACAAAATGTAACGCCCCACAACCTAACAGCTGAATCCAATCGGATCACCACCATTAAGTTAGGGATGCTAACCTTTTATATATATACTTAATCATTATGGTTTTAATACAAAAATACGTTATATGCTTTGAAAAGAAATCAAACTTTGTACTTTCTCAAAATCTGTGCGTATATACATATATTGTTTACAAAATTACATTGTACAAAAACCATAATAGAGCGGCTAACAAAATGAAATCAGAGTTTCTAGCTCGGCTACAAAAATGGCGCGAAGCATGGCATATGAACAAATCTCTGACTGGCCGCTCTTGGCTAGGTCAACTTCTAATCATGTACATCATTACCTGCATCATAAGTACCTAATGAGCCAATGGCTCAGCAAGTTGAAACTGATATAATAGAAATATATCACATAACACATTATTCATTCAATATGTACAATATCACATATAACTTCATTTATGATCCTTTCTTTTGAAATCCTTCTCTTTATCGGGTACCCTTGAAGTGTGGTACTTGACTGATAGCAATAGACTTTGATTTTCGGAACCTGTTCATCATATTTGGCCAATAGATAATACGGGGGTTTCTATACCGGCCTTTCGACCTCAGGTATTAGCCGTATTTCATTTCTTTAATTGTGGGTTTTCCATACTGGTCTTACGACCTCAGGTATTTGCCACCATGTGTTGGGTCCGCCGGTTCCTCCCGCGTCCCTTGCCTACTCGACCATCAATCAAGTACCATACTCCCATTTTCAAAACATATTCTTTCATATCACTATGACTCATCAATCATTCAAACATCATAGAGAACACATAGCAAAAGTCACATTAAAACACACATAATTAGGTTCTTATGATGAGCAAATGAAAGCTTCAACTTACCTCAAGATCAATATGATGTATGAAGTGAAAGGATCAGTCTTAGATAGGGTGTGCTAGAAGCCTTGATTAGAGATGAATTCAAACTTCAAAACATAGGATTTTCAGCTAGAAAAGGTGCAGAACTTGTTCTAGCTCTACTTCTATGAGTTCTTAGGGTTTGATATTCTCTTATGTGAACATGGAAGTGAAGAAATAAGAAGAAAAGCTTAAGTGAATAGGTCTGGTCGTTTTTGGAAGAAGACAAGTGAAAATGAAGACCAAAACACAAAGTCTTCACTTATCTACCCATTCCCAACAAGGCCAAATGGAGGATGCTGATTGGAGGGCTTATATTTGCTGGATTCTTGTGGTTCCTCCACGTTTTTCTAGCTTGAGATAAGATATGGGCTGATGCTTACTCATTATAATCAAGTGTAAACACTTTGAGAATGGTCTTGTGCAACCTAGTCAACCAACCAATCAAATTGCACCCTTTTGCATACTTTTGGTTTTATTCTAATACGAGTTACTTCAAGTAGTTACATGTGTAATTAATCATATTAAAATGTAATTAAAATGCAGAAATGCAATTAAGACAAATATATCACTATTCAACACATTGATCCTTTCTTAACCGAGAAACTGAGCTTCTCACTACAATAAATCACTTAAGTTCATGTTAAATCATAAAGTAGAAGTTCAATAACATGTATCATGTATTAGCACATTTTAAGAAAAGTATTCGATCACGTATTAAAACACAATTAAGGCACATGTGTAGCAAGTAGTCGTGATCATGCATCATGAATAATGAATTATAACTATATGCATTGATGCAATATGCTTATTATTGGCCATGTAAGGATGATTGGGCATTACATAAAAAGACTCCTTTTTTCACAAGGAAAATGACTCTTACCTTAACTATAATAAGGAACCTAATAAATAAGAAAATCCTAACCATAAAACAAGTCTAAAATAATAAAAACATAATATAACCTTAAAATAAAAACGTAATTTAATAAAATCTCAACTCCAAATATCAAGTCGACGACACGAACATTCTTCATAACTCGAGTAGACATTTGGTTGTGCACGTGTCTTGACTTCAAGCTCAATTGCTGACCTTTTCCACTCCGAATCTCTCTCGGGTCAAAACAGCAAAGTTTTAGACTTTTAAGTTGGCTTTCCGTAGCAATTCGAATCACCTTAATTCAACATCATATGAGAAAGTAATAAGCCAAACAGTGTACTCTGCCAGAATTAAACGGGACTTTCGGGAGGCATGAAATTCGACTTGTCCAACGAATTTCCCTCTTCCTTGTCTTCCAATTCTTCGTGTTGGATGTAGTTAGGATCATATCATACTCCCTTTCTTCAAAATAATTCGTCCTCGAATTCGATTCCTTTGAATGAGCGTGTAGTATTGAAAGCGAATCCATGAGGCAGAAAGTTCTTAACTGTATTTGGAACTTTTTTTTTCTTTTTACGAACAAATAATAATGATATTTCCCCATCCAATAAACAAGATTAAATTTTCCTTGTTAGCACTCCGACCTAACGTTTATATAGAAACGCAAACCAAAAGTATAGAACAACCAACTTGACCAATTGGCTATATAGAACCACGAACCAAAGTTATAATGTTGACGCCACAAGAAAGAAACTTAATAGAGTTCACGAGATTAACGAATAACAAAACTCACTCATTCTTTCATATTTTTTTTTTCTTTTTTTTGATTTTGTTTTTTCTCGACTCCAGACAAAACTAAACTTAGACTCAAAGAAACTCCAAACAAAAAATAAATTTCGATTTTTTTTATTTTTTATTTGTTTATGGACTCTAAATAAACAAAACAAAAGATTAGAAGAGGCAACAACAATAGAAACCAAACAAAAAACAAAACAAAGACAAGAAAACAAAGACTGACTAAAAAATAAAGATAAAGGATAGGCGAAACCTTCTTAGGAAGATGGCTATCATACCAAATGATACAAACCACGCCAACCATGTGACGAGACCCGATACCAATACTTCGGATATCAAATCCTGGACCGTCCAAAGAAGGAATCAAGGAGTGGAACCGCGATAAGTCGGGGTGAACAAACGGAATCCACCGAAATGTTCGAAAAGTTCTTAAAGAACCAAAGCGAATAAACTCCATTTAAATCATCAAAATTCGTCCATTAAAATAAGCCAAATTGGCAGCCTATTTATAAGATCTAAAAAGACTCCTTTTTCACAAGGAAAATGACGCTTACCTAAACTATAATAAGGAAACTAATAAATAAGAAAATCCTAACCATAAAAGAACTCTAAAATAATAAAAACATAATATAAATCCTACAATAAAAACGTAATTTAATAAAATCTAAACTCCAAATATCAAGTCGACGACACGAATATTCTTCATAACTCGAGTAGACATTTGGCTGTGCACGTGTCTTGACTTCAAGCTCAATTGCTGACCTCTTCCACTCCGAATCACTCTCGGATCAAAACAGAAAAGTTTTAGACTTTTAAGTTGGCTTTCCGTAGCAATTCGAATCACCTTAATTAGACTTCAGATGAGAAAGTAATAAGCCAAACAGTGTACTTTGCCAGAATTATACGGGACTTTCGGGACGCATGAAATTCGACTTGTCCAACGAAATTCCCTCTTCATTGTCTTCCAATTCTTCGTGTTGGATGTAGTTAGGATCATATCAAAACATGCAAAAACACACTTGCTCAAATGGACATGCACAAACATACATGTAAAAATATATGCACAAACGTGCATTCGCAACAACGTTCTTAAAAACACGAACAACAATACTAGGACTTTATTACACATCAACAAACAACGGCAAAAACACTAGATAAAAAAGAAACAGTGGAGTGTAGAAATAAAACTCTACGTTTACGTTTACGTGGATTTATTTTTGTATCAAAGAGTATGAAAAGAGTTGCAATCAAGAAAATAAATTCAAATTAGAAAAGAGAATCCCTCAACATGTTTGGTAGTGTCCACGAAGTCGAGCATAAATTTCTCATCCGGACTCCAAATCAACTAGGTTCGGCGGCATTAGAAAGCTATTTCAGCTGGCTACAGCTCCTGTCTAACGGCAAGATTCCAAATTCGGACTAGAACATGGTCAAAATTGGATTCCAAAAGCTATCATGAAAATACGTACTACCGTTCGAGGACATAAATGCACATCGAGAAACGTGCACAAAAATACTCGCTACAAAGGATACGCACATAAGAGTACAAAAACATGCACAAAAGTACACACGCAAAAGTGCATTTTAAAAAATGATTATGAAAACACAAACTACATTCCTACGAAATTAATACAAATCACAAACATGCACAAACACACTCGCTCAAATGGACATGCACAAACGTACATGTAAAAAAAATATGTGCAAACGTGCATTCGCAACAACGTTCTTAAAAACACGAACTACAATACTAGGACTTTATTACGCGTGAACAAAAAACAGCCAAAACACTAGATAAAAAAGATATTGTTGAGTGTAGAAATAAAACTCTACGCTTTGTTTACGTGGATTTTTTTTTTGGATAAACTCATATTTCTGTTTTAATTGGTGGATGTGGTATCTTATAGGTACAAATCGAAAATTAGGTGTCCAGGAAGCAAAAATGATCAAAGAGTAAGAAACGAGTTGCAATTAGGAAAATAAATTCAAATTAGAAGAGAGAATCCCTCAACATCTTTGGTAGTGTCCACGAAGTCGAGCATAACTTTCTCATTCGGACTCCAAATCAACTGGTTTTTGCGGCATTCGAAAGCTATTCAGCAGGCTACAATTCCCGTCTAACGGCAAAATTCCAATTTCGGACTCGAACATGGTCAAAATTGAATTCCAAAGGCGATCATAAAAATACGTACTACAGTTAGAGGACATGAATGCGCATCGAGAAACGTAC